AATGTAAGTGGTCTTTATTACAAATGCCCAAGATAAAATGTATACCATTGTTCAGTATTGTAAAAAGTCATTTTCATAATTTCTAGTCTGTACTTAACATTTTGATAGCAAGCATCATTAAAATATTATAAAAATAAGAATACTTACAGCCACAGGGAACAAGATCCTCCAAAGGACACCGTTCGTGTCATGGATGTGGGTAACCAAACTCCACAGCAACTGCTGGCAGTGCTCATGGGGTGGGGGAGAACAGCTTCACAGCTTGTGGTACGACATTCTAGCACGCTGTGTTGTATGCATGCCATCGTGGCCTCGGCTCTGTGTAACGTCTTTATCTACTGCATGAGCTTGTGTACTCTGTGGCAGGTGACCACTGTCCAATAAAGAAATATGCTGGACACCATTACTGTATATTAGGTTGTATTTCTCCTGCATGTACAAAGTGTGTGTATGGTTTTTATTCCCTTAGCAGTACAATGATAAAATGATTTTCCCTATCAACCATAAGCTATATTCCTTGTGCTCCATTTAGTATGTAAAACATTTTATTAACATAGTTAATTTGAAATTCTGACTCTGAAAAATTGGTAGTGAACATGGTTGTTAGTATTATGAGGGAATTTCAAAGTCTGTGGGAAAACTGAATTAAAAGGTAAAGGAAATTTTTTTAGCAAACTGAATTCCTCTCATATACTATAGCCTTATTTTTGTCTGTATAACACATATTTTTTTAAGTATGTGTGTGTGTGTTATTTTTAATTGCCTAGGGGTAGGGGGAAGAGTAAAAGTAGTCTTTTTTTTCCCTGTATAAAGCACATTTTAACATTGTCCATAAAGAAAGATTCGCATACAATTTTATGTATTTTACTAAATTTACCTTCGACAGACTCAATTATGAGAAATATTCTTTAGAAAAACTAGTTAAAGATAATGGACATACTTAAAAGGGATCCTATTGGGTCTTATAAATTTAGACGGTGCTAGGTTATATCTTTTCTTATTTATGGCACAACTTTTTAAATCTTTTAACAACATTGATAATTCACTGTGACTGTCTAAAAGGGAACTGTTTATGCAATATTTTCCAAATTATAACAACTCTATATACAGCCAAACTAAGTACCTCCCTGCCCTGCATCATTGTCACAGCTTCCGTGTCTTTCCATCTCCTTGAGTCTTCTTTTTCTCGGACGCTGTACCAAGCATGATGTCCTTCTCCAGGGACTGGTCTCTTCTGATAGCATGTGCCAAGGATGTGGTAACAAACATGAAGTCTTGTCATTCTTGCTTCTAAGGAACATTCTAGCTGTCCTTCCTCCAAGACAGGTTGGTTTGTTCTGGAGCCCCGGGTACTTTAGTGCTATTCCACCAAACCATCATCAAATGCATCAGTTGTTCTGCAGTCTTCATTGTACATTGCCCACCTTTCACAGACACATGAGGGGACTGAAAATACTTGTACCTTAGTATTGAACATCTTTGCTCTTTAACACTTTAAAGAGGCCTTGCACAGCAGTTTTGCCCAGTGTAATATGTCATTTGATTTCTTGACTGCTGCTTCTATGAGCATTGATTATAGATGCAAGAAAAATCAAATCCTTGACATGGTCATTCTGCTTTTGGTTTGTTATGATGTTACCTATTGGTCCAGTTGTGAGAATGTTTATTTTCTTTACATTGCATTGTAATCTGCATTGAAGACTGTATACCATCTTTGAACTTCATCAGTAAGTGCCTCAAGTGCTTTTGCCTATAAACAAGCAAGATGGTTGATTTTGTGGTTAGCCATTAGCCACCCAATGCATAACCCACCATTCCACTAGGACTTCTTCATCTTCATATCACAGGGTGTTCATGAGCCTCCCTCCAATTCTGACGCCGAAACCTTCATGATAAAGTGCCTCTATTTGAATTGTTTGCTCAGCATACAGATTGAATAAATGTGGTGCACAGATACAATGCTGATTCACACCTTTCCTGATTTAAAACCCTGCCGTCTCTATTCTGTTCAAACAATTGCCTCTTGGTCTGTGTCCAGGTTCCACCTGAGTACAATTTAAGTGTTCATTTTTCCCATTCTTTGTGATGCTGTTTATAGTATGTTTTGATCCAAGTCAATGTTTTTGCATAGTCAGTAAAACACAAACATCTTTCTGATATTCTGTGCTTTCAGCTGAGATCCATCTGATATCCTATTCTGAATCCAGCCTGAATTTCTTCAGCAAAATTTTACTTGCATGTGATATTAATGATATTGTTTGTTAATATCCAAATCCTATTACAGTTCCTTTCTTTGAAATGAGCACACATTTTCATTCTACTTTACCCGGTGGCTGTCTTCCACATTTCTTGGTGTGGACTAGTGAGTACTTCTAGCACTGCATCATAAATAAATACATATTATGAAAGCATAAACACCTGAACTGAAAGGCTGCTCACTAATGCCTATTTGCTTCTTTGACCCACAGTCTGGTCTTCTCTTTTATTATGGATTCATCTTTTTTCATTTCTTTGTCATTTTTATTGTCATCTAATATTTTAATGTTATATGTTAATATGTTAAGGAAAGTGTCGATTTGAAAAATAAGGATAGAACAACAAATCTGAGAATAATATTAAACTCAAATGCATTTAACTGTCTACATGAAACAACAGACCATTCATTATATCCTTGATGCCTGTTTTACTACATTAACTCTATTACATCGTGGAATCTTCTGAAACAGAGAAATATTCCCAATAAAGACACTAGCAGGGCACTAAAGTGCTTTAATTTGGCTTTTTGTTGTTTTACCATTCGTTCTATAGGTGTTAAAATTTGAGTAACTTTCTAATGAAAGTGGGTCAGTTTCCTGTGGATTAATTTACATTATAGGGTAATGGATAAGTATATGATCCAGGCTGACAGTAAGATAAACATTGAGCAGTCCTTTGAACAATGACTGATAGTCCAAGGAAAGAGAAGGGTGAATTCCAAGTCCTAAGTTCTTGGTTCATCTACACCGAAACAATTGGGTCTTCGCTGTCCTTATCTCAACTAATTCCATATTTTATGAACTGCTGCTTATAGTACCTACTTTGCCCCATATGTATCAGATAGAATGTGTTTTTCAAGATACAGGCTAACTATAAAGCTTAGGCTACATACTATTTTTTTTAATCATTTTATTGGGGGCTCGTACAACTCATCACAATCCATCCATCCATCCGTTGTGTCAAGCACATTTATATATTTGTTGCCCTTATCATTCTCAAACATTTGCTTTCTACTTGAGCCCTTGATATCAACTCCTTATTTTCCCTCTCCCTCCCTGTTCCCCACTCCCTTATGAACCCTTGATAATTTATAAATTATTATTTTGTCATATCTTACACTGTCCAATGTCTCCCTCCACCCACTTTTCTGTTGTCCATCTCCCAGGGAGAAGGTTATATGTAGATATTCTGGTCCTGAAGGGATCATCTGTCCTGGATTCCTTCTGTTTCCTATTTTTAAAGACTCATATCCCAATATTTACGTAGTGATTTAGTGATAGTATCATGGAACCTCCCCCAACATTCCCTGCCATTGAGTCTATGCCAATACCTAACAACCCTGTGGGACAAGGTAGAACTGCCCGTAGGAGTTTCCCATTTTGGAACTCTACAGGAGTAGGAAATACCAACTTTTTCCTGCGAAGCTAATAGTTTCTAACCTTGTGGTTAGTGGCCTAGTGTATAGTACTTAGTATGTATTACAGAGTAAATACTAAATGCACTTGATACTTAAGTGCATTTAAATTTAGTATTATTCTCCAATTAGTTTCTGACCCTTATTTTCAAAACCAGCATTTTTCTTAACAGATGACAAGCAAAATATAGAATATAGTCTATTCAGACTGAAGTCTTACTACTTTTGTAATAATTACTAAATCCTTTGCACTGGGCTACTACCCACAAGGTCAGCAATTTGAAACCGCTAGTGCCTCCTCGGGAGAAAGAAGAGGTTTTCTACTTATAAAAAAAGTTCCAGTATTTATTATCATGGACCCTGTAAGTATTGATTTTTGCCCTCTCGATTCAAAATAGCTGTCCTACTTTAAACTTTTATATTCTTACATAACACTGACCCCAGCACAGAAATAAGGTCAGAGTCGGGGGCCACAAAAAGCATTATTAGAGGGGGGAACATATTATCAGAAGTCTTCAGCAAATATATACTCATTTCTTATTTGCCAGAATTGAATAACATCAGCATCCATAGAACATTAGATCAAAATTTAAAGGAGTATATTAAATGGCTTAGATATACCGTATTTCATACCTATAGCTGAGATGCTAAAACGGCAGAGAGATGGGACTAGCTCTTGGGCAAGCATCCATATCTGCCCTGTTTTAAAGATTGTGGTTCTGCTGTCTTTTCTTGGCCTTGCTGGTTTAGAGCCCTTCTTACCCAAAGGAAGCCTATTGACACTGGAGACACACAACAGGATTTCAATTGAAAGTGGAGATGGCGCTCTGGCCATTTGGGATCCTCTTTCCAGTAAACCAGTAGTCTAAACAGCAACAACCATGAGGGGAAGTAATGTTGTAGTTGGGTGATTAAGCCTAATTAGAAGAAGAGACTAGTTATTACTAACCATTTTTAAAAAATAAAGAGGATATAAGTGGAACTCAGAAGGAGTAATAGAGTTCCTTCTAATACCACAGTCTCTGATGGTAAGAGTAATGAAGGAAAAAAAATTACAGTAGTCCAAATGGGCAGGGCTTAGACCCCACTACTTTTAAACTTCTCACTAAAACAACCTCAACTATCTAAAAATCCTCAACCATCTGACAGGATGGTTCCATTCCCAGTCCCAAGAGGTGTACATAGCTTAGTCCAAGATAATCATGTTCCATTTCTCTTGATGCTGTTGGATTAGAGTTAGTGGTTCAAATCCAGAGAACTGCGCCTGTATAAATTTACAGCCTACAAAAGCCTATATCGAGTTGTTATATGAGTTGGAGCTATGTGATGTGCTTCTATGTTTGTGTAAACTCTGACATGTGCCGTGAGAGTAGATACAGATGAATGGAGAAGAAGGTTTTCAGTTTTAAGGAGACCTGGAGAAGTATATCTTGGTGTATTTTTGTTTGCCTCTGGACATTGGTATATCAGGATGTAATGATATAATGGCATGAATACCTACAGCAAACCATCTTTCAGATGTGGAGGATGGTAGCCATTCACTGAGAATGGCAGATTGGAAAGAAGGAATTGGGTACATGAAACCATATGTGAGCATAACAATAGTGAAGCCATATTACTTTGGTATGTCTTATTAGAAAGGTACTAAATCTATTGATTCCCACTAAAAGCATCCTTTTATATTCTTTTTTTAAATATTTTTTTTACTTTAGTGAAGATATACAATAGAACATAGATCAATTCAATTTTCCTCAGGTATAATTCAGTGAAATTAAATACATTCTTCTAGTGTGCATCTATTCCATCCTCTTTCTCTGCCTTGTTCTTCTACCATTAGTATAACCTCACTGCTTTCTAAGGTTTCTATCTAATCTTTAGAGTTGATGTTGCCAATTTGATCCCTTATCTTGTATAAATAGATCTTAAAGGAGCATATTACTTAAGGCAGATATTCTACTCATTTTTATATATTCTAATTATTGTATTACCCAAATGCATAGGAGTTTGACATAGGAGTAATTCTAAACCCAATTATTTTCTGTAATAATAAACCTTGTTGATTATCTTTAGCATATCAGTTTGTTTCGCCCTAAAATTTGTTAATGAGAGTGTAATCTGAACAAAAGGTAGTTCAAAATAGAAGTCCTTCATAGAATGTAACTTAAGGAGCTTTCTCCTCCAAAAGTAATGTTTTCCCAAAAGAGTTGGAATGTTCAACTTCACTGACAAAGCTCCCATCTCTTAGGTTGCATTTGAGTCAAAGTTTAAAACCATGACTCTCGAATACTAAATTCCATTTTCTGTCTAAATAAATTAGCCCATCAATTTGGTCATAGCCAGTCAAGTCATACTGGACAGAGGTCATTCACTTCCTTGAGACTGGGACTTTTAGATTCTAGTAGATACTTACTGGACATTTGAGTAATAGTCCTTTAAGTAATTTTTTTAAAACTCACTGCTTTTGAGTCCATACTGACTCATAAGGACCCTATCAGTCAAGTAAAAGTGCCTAGTAGGTTTTCAAGACTGTAACTTGTCTTCCTTCCTTAGAGCAGCTGGAGGTTTCGAACTGCTGGTGAGGTAAGCACATGCCAACAAGAGTCCTCGTTCAAGAAGTATAAGAAAGTTTCAAAAAGTTTGTAAAAAAATTTTATTATCTTTTCATTTTGTTTGTCCATGAACATTTTGAAGCCTCCTTTTATTATCAGTCACATCAACATCTTCCAACTATGATGGTACTGTGACTTTAATTGCATTTGTTGGTGTCATAGTGGGTTATGAATTAAGCTGCTAGCCACAAGGTCAGCAGTTCAAAACCACCATCTTGTCGGTGGGAGAAAGATGAGGCCTTCTATTCTCATAAAGAGTCGACAGCATTGGAGACCCTCGAGGGCAGTTCTTTTGGTCCTACTGGATCTCTGGGAGTCAAACTCAACTCCATGGCAGTGAGTTTGGTTTTGAATTGTTGGTATTTGATGAGCAGGCTTCTGTGTATACAAATAACTTTTTGTTGCCATGGTACTAAGTTTAATTTCTTTGAAGACATTGTAAGCAAGAACTATTATTGAATGTTGTTGAATCAATTCTAACTCATAGTGACCCCAAGCATGTGGAATAGAACTGTTGCATAAGATTTTCAAAACTGACTATTTGGACTCATATCACTGATCTTATTTCTGAAATGTCTCTCAGTCAAACTGCTAACCAGGGCACTAGTTGTAAAGCATTTAACTGTTTGCACCACACAGGAACTCCAGACAATAATTAGGGGTCCAAAATTACTTTCACTTTAAAACATGTACCTTTGTACTATTTAAATAACAAAGCTGAAATAGTGGTAGCGTGCATTAATAATTTCATTATTTGAATAATTAAGTAGCAATACCAGTACTGTTTGTGCTTGTCTGCTTGAAGTTTCTTTGCAGTTGTTTATTTCAAAATTGTTTCAGAATTATTAAGACACATTTGTAAGTGTTCATCTTGAATCTAGGTGATAAACATATTTTATCTACAAAAATAGAATTTAAATAGTTGTACATATTCACATTACAAAAGCAATATTTGTGATCTTTATAAAGTAAGTATTGCAAATATACAAATATCAATGTTCAAATGTACTAATTCTTATTACTTTCAATTGTTACTAGTCATCTGTGTTATTGCCATATGTTTTTAGAATGCTTTCTTTTTGCCCAATTTAGAGATAAAAGGGTCTGTTCCAGGAAATCCCACCTCAGCTATCAACTTTTGTCAATAATAATAATCCTTACTGGTTTTGTTAGATGCCAGCTAGTTGACTCCGACCCATAGCGATCCTTTGCACAACAGAACGAAACACTGCAGGGTCCTGCACCATCTTCATAATAGTTCCTGTGCCTGAGCCCATTGATACAGCCACTGTGTCAATCCATCTCGTCGGGGTCTTCTTGTTTTCACCGCCCCTCCACTTTACCAGACATGTTATCTATCCTCCAGGGACTGGTCTCTCCTGACAGAAGTCCAAAGCATATAAGATAAACCCTTGCCATCCTTGCCTCTAAAGAGCCACCCGGGCCTTACTTCTTCCAATACAGAGCTATTTGTCTTTTTAGCAGGCCATGGCACTTTCAATACGCTTTCCTAGCACCACAATTCAAATGTATCTCTCTGAGGTCTTCCTAGTTCAGTGTGCAACTTTCACATTCCTATGAGGTGAAATACAATAGCTTGGGTCAGGCACAACGTAATCCTCAAAGTAAAACATCCTTGCCTTTCAGTACTCCAAGGGATCTTGTGCAACAGATTTACCTATTACAATATGTTCTTTGATGAGCACTGACTGTGGATCCAAGTAAGACATAATTCTCGAAACTCCCAGGTTTTCTCCATTTATCATTATGTAACCTATTCGTCCAGTTGTGAGGAATTTGGTTCTTCCTCACATTGAGTTGTAATCCATACTGAGGGGTACAACCCTTGATCAACAGCAAGTGTTTCAGTTCATCCTCACTTTGAGCAAGCAAGGTTTTGTCATCTGCATACCTTAGGTTGTTAATAAGCCTTCCTCCAATCCTGATGCTGCACTCTTCTTCATATAATTCAGCTTCTCTGGTGATTTGCTCAGCATATAGATTGAACAAGTGAAAGGATACAACCCAGATGCACACCTTTCCTGGTTTTGAACCATAGAATATTCCCTTGTTCTGTTCACACAACTGCCTCTTCATCCATGTATAAGTTCCTAATGAACCCAGTGAAGTGATCTGGAATTCCCATTCTTCTCAAGGTTCTCCACAATCTGTTATGCTCCACACAGTGGAATGCCTTTGCGTGATCAGTAACACAAGTAAACATCTTCTGGTATTATTTGTTTTGAGTCAAGATCATCTGACATCAGCATTGATATCCCGTATTCTACATCCTCCTCTGATTCCGGCCTGAACTTTTGGCAGTTCGCCATCAATGTACTGCCGCCATTGTTGTTGGGTGATTTTAAGCAAAACTTTACTTGGTATGCTTTATCAATGATATCGTTCTATAGTTTGAGCATTCTGTTGGGTCACCTTTCTTTGAAATGGGCACAAATATGGATTTCTTCCAAATTTCCTGGCATAGACAAATGAGGGGCTTCCAGTGCTTCTTTATTTTTCTGAAACATTTTAGCAGGTATTTTTGTCAATTTTTGGAGCCTTGTTTTTTGCTTTAAGCGCAGTTTGAACATCTTCCTTCAGCACCATTGGTCCTTGCTCACAGGCTACCTCTTGAAATGGTGGGCTGTTGACTAATTCTTTTTGATACAGTGGCTCTGGTTAGTCTTTCTGTCTTCTCTTCATGCTTCCTGAATCATTCAGTCTTTTGCTTATAGAGGCTTTCAGAATTGCAGTCCAAGGCTTGAGTTTTCTCTTGAGTTCTTTCAGTTGAAGAGATGCTGAGCATGTTCTTCGCTTTGGGTTTTCTAATTGTAGGTCCTTGTCCATTATGTTTATTTGGCTTTGTCTTCTCGAGCTGCCCTGTGAAATGTTCTGTCAGCTCCTTGACGTCATCCTGTCTTTCCCTTGCTTTAGTTACTCCAAGAGCAACTAAGAGCAAGTTTCAAGATCTTCTTCAGATAGCCACATTGATCTTTTCTTTCTTTCTTGTTTCTTTATTTCTTGAGTTTCATATATCAAAAAACTGAAAAACAAAACAATTTAAGAGCACTACTCACAGTGATGAAATACATCAGAGATAAACCCCAACGTGCAAAAAACAAAATAGGAAAGGTATTGAAAACAAGATCAGGCCCAAAGTGTATCAGAGGGGGTGAGGGGGGATCAAGTGACAAGGTTTTAACTGTTCAAGACAGGTGTATCATTTTGATCACCTATAGAATCTCTCCAATATGCTGTTTGGTAATAAATTTATTCTCATCCTTCTATTATGGATAGACCTTTTGCTTTCTTCATGAATGAAGATTTTGATGTTCTCCCACAATTCATCAGATCTTCGGTCATTTTGTCATTAGTATTCAGTGCATCAGATCTGTTCTTTAGATGTTCTCGAAATTCAGATGGGACAGACTCAAGATCATATTTTGGCTCCTGTGGACTTGTTTTCATTTTCTTCAACATTATTCTGAACTTACATAGAAGTAATTGATGGTCTTTTCCACAGTCAGCCCCAGTCTGGTTTTAGCTGCTGATGTTGAGCTTCTCCATAGTATCTTCCCCATGAATGTAGTCAGTTTGATTTCTGTGTATTCCATCTGGTGAAATCCATGTGTATAGTTGCCTTTTGTGTTGTTGGGATTTATTATGAACAAGTCCATTGGTTTTGCAAAATTCT